TCCAGGTCCCAGGAGCGGCCCGGCCAACATCGGTGCAGCGGGGTGGGTTGGCGCCCCCTGGCGTCCAACGCCTTGCAAGACTCGAGAGGTTTTGCCGTTCGCGGCCTCTGGGAAGCTGTCTCGGGGGCCCGGGGACGACCCGAGAGACGGCCCAGGGATGACAAACTAGCCTCCGAGGAAGCACGTACCCAGACGTCGGGCGGACGGATCGATTCAGCCCTGGCGTTTTTCACCCGCCTCCGGGGCCCTCGCCCGGTCCGCAGGGCTCAGAATGGGCCCAGGGCGCAAAACGGCCCCTGCGACAAGGGTCGAAGCCTCGCCCCGCTGGTCTGTATCATGAACACAAATGAGGGTCGCGCGGCCTGTAGAGGCCTGCCAGATGGGGTCCGAATATCGAAGGACCCCACCGCATCGCCGATGCACCGGCGATGCGGTTCGACGTGGCGCCCAGCTTTCTCCGCGCCGACGGCGTCGATGCATTTCCGACGTAGCCGATGCATCGGCGATGCGGCGCGATCCTCCGACACCATCTGTTGGACCCCGTCTGGGAGGCCTCTAATATAGGACCCAGACATCTGGCGCTTCGGCTTTTTCGAGAAGTGGGCGCCCAGACCTCCTCGACTTGCATTCCGCAGGTTCATCCCAAGTCGTTCTGCTGACGGTCCCGCAACCCGGATCCCGGCCTCCACATGAGTCACATGAGGCGCTCCAGAGAGGGCCTCGCCTTCGAGGGTCGACGGAGTTGTCATCTCTTCCTCGGCGGCAGGGCGGCGGATGGTGGCGGAAGTAAAAAAAGAGGGCGAGTTTCCGCGATTGGCCGTATGCCAAGAGGGATGACAGGCCAGCCGCCTCCCTCGATCTGTTTGAGGCGCCGGGTGCCTGGCCCCTGGGGCCCTCGCAAGGACTCCGGGCCGTCAAAAGAGTACGATTCGGGATGAAAAACCGGCCCTGGGGAAGTGGTCGGGAGGTCGGAGGCCCATGTCCCGGACCCCCGACGTCATGATTTGTTCATAATGTCGACCCCCAGAGCTTTCGACCTTGGAGGCCAAACTACCTGCTTCTACAGGCTTATATATGTGGGGCGTATGCCGAATGCCGTTATCATTTTCTCGCCACAAGTGCCTACAGGCACATTGGTTGTTGTCATGTATACAGGCACATACGGGGTCGATGTGTCTATAGACAACGCGGCCCTTGCGCTCGGCACACTACAAGGCCTGAGAAAGGATAGATCCGTCTACGGTATGTTCTTGTTCTACAGCAGGTCCGTCATGGTATTCCACTGTCCACCTGTTTCCCCACGACCTGTTGTTCATCCTGAGTCGTTGTTTGACGGTCCCGAGGCCCAGTCAGGGCCCCCAGAGGCCGAAACCAGCGAAAATGGTTGCATCGCTACTGCGTCATGACTTGGGGGTGGCCTGAGTCTCGGAGAATTCGAGACGTCGGATTTGTAGTTCTGAGTCTAGGCCTCCCAGATGGGATCCGAGTAGATGGGGTCGGAGGATCTTTTGATTTGCTCCATGCGGTGTCCCCAGGCCTCTTCGAGCCATGAGAGAATCACGACGGACGTTTTTCGTTCGCCATTTTATGCTCTTGGGTGCCCATACCGGGCCTCGGGACCGTAAAAGAACGACTCAGCGTGAAAAACCGTTCCCGGGGAATGGGTCGAGATTTCTAGGGGTCGACGTTATGAAAAAAAACATGTCGGGGATCTGGGTCTCAAGGTGTCCCGACCCCTTCCCCCGGGCTGGCGTTTCCTCCCGAGCCCTCTTTGAGCCATCCCCAGGCCCCGTGAGGGTCCCCAATCAGGGTTTGCTCAAGATACCCCTGGCCCAAGGTGCCCCCAGCTTTTCGCTCAATCTTGGAGCCCCTGGGGCCCTCTGGGACTCGTGAGGCGTGCTCTGGAGGCCGCGGGGGCCTCCCTGGAGATCCGGCGGGCATTGGGCCAGGGGCACTTCTAGCAACACGCGACCCAGAGGCCGAGAGAAAGCGACCGGATCGTTTCCGTCTCGACTGTTTCGACGCGGTGGAGGTCTGTGGCCTCCGTCGCCGCGCGGCCACAGAATTACTCTGCCAGCCGCTGGCGGCGCGGGGCCCGCAGGCGGGCCAGCGGGCCACCAGAGGCCCGGGGCCGGAGGAGCCCCGCGCGGCGGGCCTCTCTTTGGCCCTCCTCGGCCACGGGGGGGGGGCCGCCCCAGACGTCCTGGCGCCTCGAAACAAATCGAGGCGAAGGTTTTTCACTGTGTTCGGCCTCTCCCGCCCCCGACGTTCTGGCGTCCCGACTGAAGTCGAGGCGAAGGTTTTTCGTTGTGTGTCGGCCTCTCCCGCCCCCGACGTCCTGGCGTCCCGAGAACATCGAGACGAAGGTGTTTTGTTCTCTTCGGCCTCTCGAGGCCCTTACTCTGGGCTTCGGGACCGTCAAAACACAGGGGAAACGTAAGACCCGAGTACGCCAGAACTCCACGGGGAGGCCCCCGACCCAGACATACTGGCGTCTCGAAAAAAATCGAGACGAAGGTTTTTCATTGTTTTCGGCCTCCCGGGGCCCTTATGCTGGGCTTCGGGGCCGTCAAGCATCGGGGCAAAATTTAAGACTTGAGTGCGCTGGAACTCGGGCTTGCCGACGCGTTCGGACAAGCGCGTCTTAGATTTTGACGGTGCAGTTTTCGGGTGGGGGGTTACAGCGGAAGTTCGCGTCAAATTTCAGATTGGTTCTCGTCATTTTCATGATGGCCCCGTCAGGCCAACTCGAGTCCCTCTAACCCGAGTCTTACGTCTCTCCGAAAGAACTACTCTGGGTCAGGAACCAGTCGTCGGGGCCCATGTCTCGAAAAACATCGAGGCGCCGGATGTGTGGGACAGTGCCCCCGGGACCCTCGAGAAACGCCTCGGAGTGGAGAAATGGCCTCAGGGATCAGGGGAAGGGTCGGCACGAACGAAGCGGTACGGAGAGAGGGTACACGCCGGTCGTTGAATGTATGTATTTTTGATTGCCAGACCCCAATCCTTTTCGAGCACCTTCCTTCTTCGAGAATCGATCCGCTGTTGCTGCGTGTTGTTCTTATCTGGGAGGGCCTGAGCCCAATCTACTTTATCTGCTTTCCTTCTTCATGTGTGCTTACCTACTTCTTCCGACCGACGTGTACGAAGACCGACAGCAGTTCTTGTCCTGTTCGCTTTGAAACCGACTCGCTGTCGGTGTCGTTGCGGACGTTGTCCATTTGAGACAGAAGGCCGCCTGGCCAACAGCGGCCGTTGCCGATTTGGAAAACACACTGTTGTTTTGCATCGTGCCCTTTTTTCCCGTGCCCATCTCGGGCGTCTTCGAAGGAGAGTTCTAGACTGGATGGGAGCGGGGCGCTGTCGGCCACTGTTTGAAAAGGAGCCGCCCTCTCTCAACTCGGCGGCGAGCCCGGGGGGGAGTGAGAAGGGGCGGGCCTTCTCAGAAAGCTTGGAAGCCCCCCGGCCCTCCGAGAAGTGTTCGAAGCCTTCCCCGAAGAGGCAGAACATGTCTCAGAGGGCGCGAGGGCTTCTGGGAAGTCCCGCCGCCTTCTGAGGAGGCCTTCCCCTCGCTCGCCGCCGATCGACCTCCTCGCTCGAGCGGCCGATCAACCTCCGACCGCTCTTTAGAGGTCGCTTTGAAGCCCTATCTTTCGAGGTTGCTCTGAAGCGGGGACGCGCGGGCGACCACGACGACCACGTCATCGTGGTGGTGGTGGTCGTCGTGGTGGTGGTCGTCGACTTGGTGGTCGTCGTTGTGGTCGTCGTGGTCGTCGTGGTCGTCGTGGCCGTCGTCGTCGTCGCCGTCGTCGTCGTCATCGTCGTCATCGTCGTCGTCGTGGTCGTCGTGGTCGTGGTGGTCGTCATCCCCCCCCTCGCTCTCCGCCGATCCACCTCCGCTCCAACCCCCCCCCCGTCTCCCGCGCGGCTTGGCCCTCCCGGCCCAGCCTCTTTCGGCTTCCAGGGGCCCCCGCCACTGGGCCCCAGCGGCCGGCAAACAGAAAGCGCCCGAGGTGCAAAAGATGTCCCACAGGAAATTTTGAACGATCAAGCAGTGGCGAAGCGTCTTGATTCGCTTATAGGCCTGCCAAAAATGTTCTAAGAACCTTTGGTCGTTTGCACGAAATTTTCTTAGAACATGTCTGGTTGAGACTGTCTTGTTTGAACACATTGGGTTAATGTTCTAAGAACGTTTTTTTGCTCTTAGAACATTTTTGGGTTCTAAGAACATTTCGTGGTAGACTTTAGGAATGCCAGGACGGTCGGTCCTTGTTCAGAACGAGTAAGACGACATAGGCATACATGTTTGGCGAACCTCGCGGTTTTTTTGGATATGCGATGGGATGGGACCCACTGGCGGCGCCTCAACCGCTGCCCCTGGCGCGCTCCGCGCGCCAGAGAGGAGGCTCCGGCTCAGATCCAAGAATCCGCGCGGACCGCCAAAAGTTTATGTTCATGCCGTCTCTTGTTCCTCTAGAATCACCGAACGCGTCCCACGACTTGCAAAGTGCCTCCTCGCAGACGTCCGAAAGAAAATGTGCCTCACTTTTTTACGCTGTGGATCGTAGCTCCCCCGCCGGCGGATGCAGGCCATGTGCGAGCAGTTCTTTTGCGAGTGATGGAACGCGCTTTTCTAGGAGAGGTCAGGGGGCAACGATAGGGGGGATGGGCTCAGCGGGGGTGCGCATCGAACCCCAATCGCCCATTCATCGCAGACAGGGGCCCGATAGCCCACCCACCCTTGGAACGTGCGGTTCTCCCATCGGGGGCTAATTGCCGATCTATCGGCGATGCATCGCCGATTCAAGCTCGATATTTAATTACCCCCCTTGGGACGGTCTCCCTCAAAAGAAGACGGGACCTCCCCTGAGATCAGACGTATCGGGAGAAATTACGACCGGAGCCCTCGGCACCATCTTTCTGCGACATCATTCGAGTCGGATCGATCCGTGAGGGTCCCAGGGCCCGAAGGCCACGCCCGAGGTGAAAGAATACGACGCCAGGATCTCAGGGCCTGGGGACCCACGCTGAGCGAAGGCGCGCCGTCGTACTCCTGGGCCTCCTGTGATTGCTCCGAGCGCCTGGGCTCGAGCTTTGCGGGTGCCGCTCGCCACGGGCGAGAACAGACTGAGGCGGGCATCGACCACGATGGCTCGATCCATCCGGAAGAAGCTGGAGGCACGGCCCCAGTGGCGACCCAAGGGAGGCGGCACGAAGCGCGGCCCGAGGGATGGCCCGCACACGCAGGCGGAGGCAGCCGCGACGTCCGGGCACCTGCTCGGGCCGCCGGCGGGGATCCGGAGCAAGCTCGAGGAGGAGCGGGGCCAGGCGGTGGAGCCGAGAGGCTGGCCCGCTGCCGACGTCGGGCGGCAGGTGCACCTCGACGCGTGCTGCTCCGCGGCACCGCCCTCCGGCCTGCCGCACACGCCCGGCGGCACGAGCACGGGCGGCATGCCGCCCCGGCGTGCCCCGCCGCAGGCCTCTGGCGCCGACATCCACGAGCCGCGCAGGCCCCCGTCGCCGTGTGCACCGGGGGGCCAGTCGGGCAACGAGACCCGGGCGGGCTCCGAGTCCTCGCGCGCCAGCGGCCTGCTCCGCGGGGCTGCGCCCACGGGCGCACGGCCCTGCGGGAGAGCGGGGGTCGGCCCCGACCGGGGGCGTGGGCACCAGAGAGTGGCAGCGCAGGAGCGGCAGGTGCCGATGCAGGAGTTCGCCATCATCCTAGACAAGAGGTTTGGCGATGTTCTCGGTGTCAAGGTGGACACGGAAGGCGGCGACGACGCATCTCTGTGCATCGAGCACATCATGAAGTCAGGGCTGCTTCCGCTCTGGAATGCGAACAACCCGCAGAAGCCCGTCAAGATTGGAGATCGCATCATCGATGTAAATGGCCAGAGGGGTTCGGCGGCGAACCTCATCGCGCAACTGCAGCAATTCCAGCTCCAGCAGATCATCATTGGCCGAAAGGCTCAGCTCGACACGCAGCAGGCGCGAGCCCTGAGGGGGCCGGTGGCCGCTGTCGCCATCGCCCCGGCGGCGCACGAACCCTCGGCCCGCCTGAGTGCGGATCGCACGTGGGGGCCACTCGACGGCAGATGGTTCGACAGTTGCGGCGAGGTTGGAACCATCGCAGGATCGATTATACACTGGGCACATCGAGCCGACGACAGCGACGGAACCACGGAGTTGACCCTCACAGGCGTCACCGTCCATATGAATTACCTCGGGCAGATGCTATGCGGGGTCCTACAAGGCGAACAGTTGATTCAATAGGGCTTCGCCCTCTGCCGCCAGACCAAAATTTATGGATTAGTGGTATAGAAACCATCGTGCTGCAGACGTGAGCGCTCATTGAAATCTGGATGCTTTTTTCCGACCATGCTGTGTTGAGCTGTTGTTTTTTGAAGGGACAGCGCCCCGCGTCCCTCCCACCTCCTCCTCCTCCTCCTCATCCTCCCGGTGTCCCTCCTCTCTCATCCCATCCGTGCCTCTGCCCTGCATGTGTCTATATCGGTCCCCAGCGTGTCGTTGCGATCGGTCTTGCATCTGGCCACTTCAAGGATTTCCTCTACAAGTTCGGCCCCTGGTCTTGCGCCGAGTTTCTTCCGTCGCCATACCGGATTTCACGGTGCACCGGGTTCCCAAGGACTTCCCCTTCAAGTCTCGGTCTTTTCTCTTGAACCGCAGTTTTGATCCGACACCCACGGTCCCTGGACTTCCTAGCGTTCCTCGGCGCTTTCAACGTATTCCACCTCACGCTGGTGGCCTTGCTGCTTGGGCGCAGCCCTGATCGGGCTCATGTGCTCTCTTCTCGCGTTCTTCTTTCCGCTCCCGTGCGTTAAATCGCCTCCGGTGCATCCCACCGCTCGCTTTGACCAGCGCCTGACCGTCTTGCACCATTTGGTGCCCACGGATTGTTTAAACATGTCAATACCGGCACGCCTCTCACACGCTTCGAGGCCATACAAGGAGCCCCACCAAGGCTCCAACGGTAGGATCCGCATGGTGCACCCGCGCCACATTCGGAATACCCTCACACGCTCCGTGGCCTTATAGTGGGCCCCACCGAAGGCTCCAACGGCAAACTCCGCATGGTGCACCCGCACCCCATTCGGCACACCCCTCACAAGTTTCGTGGCCCCACGAGGAGCTCCACCGAAGGCCCAAACGGCAGGGTCCGCATAGCGTACTGTACCCGCACCTGATTCGGCACCCCCCTCACACACTTCGTGGCCCCATAAGGAGCTCCACCGGAACCCCCAGCGGCAGGGTCCGCATGGCGTGCCCGCGCCCGATTCGGCGCACCCCTCACACTTCTCGTGGCCCCATGAGGAGCTCCACCGACGGCCCCAACGACGGGGTCCGCATGGCGCGCCCGCACCCCATTCAACACACTTTTCGCACGCTTCGTGGTCCCACGGGAAGCTCCACCGAAGGCCCAAACGGCAGGGTCCGCATGGCGCGCGCACCCGCACGCGATTCGGCACACCATTCAAAGGCTTCGTGGCCCCATGGGAAGCCCCACCGAAAGCCCCAGCGGCAGGGTCCGCATGGCGAACCCGCGCCCGATTCGGCGCACCGTTCATATTCTTCGTGCCCCCATGGGGAGCTCTACCGAATGCTCCTGCGGCGGCGTTCGCATACGCCCCTGCCGCACGTGTCTGCATAACTCTCACACGTCTCGTGGCCCCACAAGACGGCTCTTACGGCAGTTTTCGCACGCGCCCCCCCCACCCCCAGCCAATATTTCGGCACACCCCTCACGTTTTGTGGCCCCACATGGGGGTTCCATCGAAGTCTCCTGTGGCAGGGTTCGCATGCGCCCCCACAGTCCATGTCGGCACACCCCTCACATGTCTCATGGCCCCATAGGGAGCACCGAAGGATTCTGTGGCAGGGTCCGCACGCGTCCCCCATCCCACTTCGGTTCACCTCTCACACGTCTCGCGGCCCCCATCCGCATGTCCCGTGCCCCATCCATCCCGCGGCGCGCTGCCTAAGAAGGGGGCCATACACTGCGTGATTTGCAGCTGCATATGGTTGTGTCTCTCGCCAGTCTGAGTGTACGTTCTGCTTGGGACAATGTTCGATTCCGAATTGCTTCGAGGGGTCTCTCCTTCGGTCCAAGACGGTGCTGTCCAAGAGGGTCCTGTTCAAGAGGGTTTCTGGAGAGGGCTTAGACGAACCAAGAGAGTTCCAAGCCAGCGCAAAACAAGGCGCCAAGAAGCCGACGCTGAGCACCCGAAGTGCCCGAAGACGCTCGAAAACAGCCCAAGTGGACCCAAGAGGCGCCGCAGAGAGATCCAAGAGGGTCCCCAGACCGTTCAAAAGGGTTCCCAGAGAGGGCGCCCAGACCGCCACGGAGGGCCCAGGAGCAAGTTCCCAAATATACCCTCGCATCCCTTTCCCTTCGGCCTGTGATTGGCCGCTTTCGCTGGCCGCTCCCCGATCGCAGAGTGTCGACATGGCCCTCCGAGGCCCCTTTGCACCCCTGCCGCGCATCCCCGACGCACGGGCCGGCTGCATACGCCCCGCGCGTCTGTTGGCACGCTCGGGTTGCCGGCTGGTGCCCCGCCGCGGGCGCCTCGCAGGCAACCCGTATCGCCGCGGCGGGTGTGTTCGGAGGCTCCTCGACCGGTGCCCCGCCGTGGGCGTCGCATGGGCACCTCAGTGCCTCGTGTGCCACGCAGCTCCTCGGCATCGCTCAGACGTGTGCGTTTTTGGGGCGTTTTTGGGCGAAGGCCACCGAGGAGCCGTGTGCGAAAGCACGGAGCGCACGGAGCGGGAAGAGTGCACGGCGAGTGGACGTCCGTGCCGTGGCAAGTGTTTACATCACATGGTTTGCAAGCACAGTCCTGGCTCAACCTGGCGTGCATCACAGAGCTTGCACAACATAGCCTCCGCCACACTCGCGCACAGCATAGCCTACACCGCACCACAGCTTGCGCCGCCTAACGTACACCAAATAGTTTGAACGACATGACCTGCGCAATACAGCTTGTACCACATAGCTTACACCATAGAACTTACACGTCATTGCTTATACCACATAGTTTGTACCACGTACTGCACCACATGGATGACCTAACCAGGTTTCAAGGAGTCACTGTCTGATTCCACGGTGCAAACATCTCTTTCGGGGTCCTAGCCCAGGGAGCGCAGGTCAACAACAAATTACCGAAAGTCAGATTCTTTGGAACGACGACCACCCATTGCTTGTTCAAAGGGGTCGCGGCCCTGGCAGCAAGGACCCATCGCAGTTTTCAAGGGATCGTGACCCTGGGAATGCGGATCCATCGCATTTGTAATCGACCGTGGCCCTGGGAAGTCAGTCGAATTTCATCAGATGAGGAATCCTCGCTTTGGGAGCGCGGATGCTACCTCCTATGTTACGATACACCGTGGCCTTGGGAGCGCGGGCCCGTGAAGATTGTACCGAGGATCGCGGCCCCGAGTGCGAGGACCCCCAATAGGCCAACATGTATCGTGGCCCATGGAACGAGGGCACAGTGCAGTGCACGGGGAGTCGAGGCCCCGAATGGGGATGTGCGGCCCTCGAACATAGTTTTGGCTTGAGTGTCCACGGGCACTCAGCGCCCCGGGGAAAGCGGTCGGATGACAAACGAAGGGAACATTTCGGGCCGAGGGGGTCGCGAGCTCGGCATCATCTACTGCCCTACTGCGGGAAGCCACGTCCAACCTGCTTGTGCGCTTCATTGAACAGGCTCCCACGGCGACCACATTGCAGAAGCTGGAGGACATGCCGAACTTGCGCGAAACATTCAACACACACTTGCTAGGAAACCTCACCCTCGCAGCTCCGAAGTGGGCCAGCGGATTTGGTCAAAAAGCGACGTGTGGTGGAGGCACGTCCGCGACGCCTCGGAGGAGTGATCCCCGCGCGCTCCTGCAGCTCTACGGCGTAGCACCTCGCTGATCGCCTCCAGTTTTGTTCGCGGCGAGGGGGGGGAGAGGGAGGGAGGAGCTGGAGGGAAGGCGACGGGGGAGCGTAGGGGGGGCGAGACAGAGAAGGAGGGGACGAGAGCAGAGCGGGGAGAGGAGAATACTAAGGCAGGCGAGGGGGCGGCGGCAGGTCTTCGCTCCGACGTCCAGTCGCGCTGCTCGCTGCTCCTTCTCCTCGTCAGCGCCGGCCTCGTGCTCCTGGTCCTCCCGTTTCGGCGACTACAGAGGGTGTGATTACGCTGGGGGGTGGTTTGCGATCGGCGCCGTTGTGGCCTGGTGGGCACGACACTGTCCTTGTCGGGCCTGCTCGCGGCGCGACGGAGGACACTATTGAAGTTCCCGCCCGCCCCCCAGGGTGCCCCCGATGCTGCCGGTTGCCAACCACACCCGTTGCAAACCACACCTTTCAAAGTCGCCGACTGTTCCCCGTCCGCCACCAGCTGGGGACAGCATGTCAACCGCAGGCTCACTGACTCGAGGCAGCACTTCTACGTCGGTTGGCGAATGCAGGCTAGTTCTCTTGCGAATGGTATGAAGGTCGCCTGTTCGCGCCCTGCCTTGTCCCTAACGTGGGTATCTCGGCAGATTGTCCTTTTCATGCCTTCCTGTGGGAAGATTGTTGTTGCATGAGTGTCTGCGTCGCCTACCAGGAGCTCGACTGCTCCTGACACACGGACGCTGAAGTCCCCCATTCGAGTTCCAGCTGAAGCCCTGAAGTTGAGGAGCGTTGTGATGAGTTCATCTGCGCTCAACGGTATCGCTTGGAATTCAAATGCCGTCGCGAACCCATTATAAGTTATGTATATGTTCATCTCGTTATTGCGTTCTCTCTCTCATTCCCTCTCTCCCTCTTCCCCTTTTCTCTCTCTCTCTCTCTCTGTAAGATAGGTCGATCGACATGTCGATATCCGCTGTTCGCCGAGGGCAGCACAAGCTTCTCATGGTTGGAGGAGGGGGCCACGCAACACTTACAGGCCCACGCCTCTCGGCTTACTTCTTGGTTGGCTCTTGGCACTGCGGGCCCAGCGCTGCCCACCGACGCAAGGGGTAGACCCGCAAGTCCAGTGTTGCAGCCCTGGCACGGGTGGTGCAGCTCTGCAACGCGCGGCTCGAATGTTTCAATGGGTCATGCCGCTAGGGCCACGCGTTCCTCTTCCCTCCACTCCCACGTTCCTCTTCTCCCCGATCACATGGAGGAGGAGGAGGAGGAGGAGGAGGAGGAGGAGAAAGAAGCGAGGAGGAGCCCCCCTCTTCCCTCCAGCTCTGCTCACCACTCGCCCAGAACCCAGGCTCCCATGCACGTCTCCAGTGCCCAGTGCCCCAGCCAGCGCGCGGCACGAGCTGCCAAAACAACAAGGTCGTCCTCGTCTTCTGGCTGGGGTGTCCTCCTGTGCTGCAGTGCGCGTCCAAGTCCCAGGGGCAGGGAGCCTTACGATCAGGAGCGTTTGCACAGCGTGTCGCGCTGCCAACTCTGGCCCACCACGGTTCGGCGCGACACGCTAAGCACATCCAGGTCTCAAAGCATCAACGCCCTCCCCCCACCCGATCCCATTCCCCTTTCCCCCCCACCCACACGCCATCAGCTTGCAAGGCACAGCGAGTCGCAGGGGCCGCCGCCGCGACACGCTAACCAAAATGTCCCGACCTTCAAAAAGTAGCCACCCTGCTTTGTTACAGGCAGAGTGGAGCTGAAAGATAGCGATCGCAGGTCGTTCCTAGGGCAGCTCAGCTTTGGATGGCTGCTTTTTGAAGGGTGGCAGCAGCTGGAGGGACAGAGGAGGAGGCAAGAGGAGAAGGACAAAGAGGAGGAGGAGGAGGAGGAGGCGCAGCGCCCGAGCGGCGCCACGCCGTCACGCCACCTGGCCAGGGCCCGGGGGGTATCTTCTTCCAGTAGTGACCTCAAGTGTGTTTGGATTTTCTGAGGTGGTCTGGTCGTGGTGCTTGTGCCAGTCCTGACGCAGCTTCTGCCAGTTGGCGTCGCCCGCTCTGTTGTAGAATCCTCATGAGCGTGCCTGTGCGGTGACTCATGAATCCTTGCCAAAAGAAGATCCTCTAGTCTAGACGCCACTTGTTAGTTTTTTCATCTCGCGTGCCAATCTCCATTGCTCTTCTGTCTCCCTGCTGCTTTTCTTCTTCTTTCTCCGCGCCAGTACAGGCCCTTCATTGCCTACTGTTGCGAGCTGCGTCTAGTTGAGGCGATCAAAAGAAACTCGGTTCAGGATTTCAGACGTTTGGAGCCGCTTGAGGTCGAGGTAGAAGTCAGACTGTCTGGGGCTGGGTCCGTTCAGACATTCGCGGGAGCCAATTATCGATATGTTGCCCATGAAGGAAAATGGCGTAGGACTTGATTCAGAATAGGCATACGAGAAGTTCCCAAAACAACCATAACTGATCAACAATGCCGAGGATCGCTTTGCCCAAATGCAAGAAAATTGATCCAAATCTTCGGCCTGAAAGAATGAGCTTTTTCAGAACGCGGGACGTGGAAAAGGGCGTCTTTTCAGCAAGAGCCTGGTGTACGTTGCGGTATGTTCTCCTATTACAGTTGATTTGTTGTTTTCGAGTTTTACTTTTTGGGGGGCCACACATGTTTCTCCCTCCCATTTTTTCTATGTTCGGGCGGAGTCCCCAGATTGCGGGGGGGGATCCCAAAATGGGGGGGGGATCCAGAAATGAGAGGGGCCCCCAAATGGAGGGGGGGGGCAAGGAAATCGTAGTTCTCGCAGATGGCTGTTTTTCGTGTTGTGTATGTCTTTTGGGGTTTGGGGGGAGGTGTCGATCCCTTGGGGGAGGTCCCCGAATGGGAGGGATCCAGAAATGCGGGGATCCAGACATGGGGGGGGGGCAGGGAAAGCATAGTTCTCGCAGATGGTTGTTTTTGGTGTTGTTTGTTACGTTGTTTTCGGGTTTTGGTGGAGGTGTCGATCCCTTCGGGGGGGGGGGTCCAAATGGGAGGGATCCAGAAATGGGGGGATCCAGAAATGGGGGGATCCAGAAATGGAGGGGGGGAGGACAGCATAGTTCTCGCAGATGGCTGTGTTTCGTGTGTGTGTGTGTGTTTGTTTGTGTGGGTGTGTTTGTGTTTGTGTTTGTGTTTGTGTTGGTGTGTGTGTTTCTCTGTGTCTCTGTGTCTCTGTGCCTCTGTGTCTCTGTGTCTCTGTGTCTGTGTGTCTGTGTGTCTGTGTGTGGTGTGTGTAAGTGTAAGTGTAAGTGTAAGTGCAAGTGCAAGTGCAAGTGCAAGTGCAAGTGCAAGTGCAAGTGTAAGCGTAAGCGTAAGCGTAAGTGTAAGTGTAAGTGTAAGTGTAAGTGTAAGTGTAAGTGTAAGTGTAAGTGTAAGTGTGCGTACGTGTGTGTAAGTGTGTAAGTGTGTAAGTGTGTAAGTGTGTAAGTGTGTATGTGTGTAAGTGTGTAAGTGTGTAAGTGTGTGTGTGGGGTGTGTGGGGTGTGTGTGGTGTGTGTGCGTGCGTGCGTGTGTTTGTGTTTGTGTTTGTGTTTGTGTTTGTGTTTGTGTGTGTGTTTGTGTTTGTGTGTGTGTGTGTGTGGGTGGGTGGGTGCGTGCGTGCGTGCGTGCGTGCGTGCGTGCGTGCGTGCGTGCGAGCGTGCGTGCGTGCGTGCGTGCGTGCGTGCGTGCGCGTGCGTGCGTGCGTGCGTGCGTGCGTGTGGGTGTGTGGGTGTGTGGGTGTGTGGGTGTGTGGGTGTGTGGGTGTGTGGGTGTGTGGGTGTGTGTCTGTGTGGGTGTGTGTCTGTGTGTCTGTGTGTCTGTGTGTCTGTGTGTCTGTGTGTCTGTGTGTCTGTGTGTCTGTGTGTCTGTGTGTCTGTGTGTCTGTGTGTCTGTGTGTCTGTGTGTCTGTGTGTCTGTGTGTCTGTGTGTCTGTGTGTCTGTGTGTCTGTGTGTCTGTGTGTCTGTGTGTCTGTGTGTCTGCGTGTCTGCGTGTGTGTGTGTGTGTGTCTGTGTGTCTGTGTGTCTGTGGTCTGTGTGTCTGTGTGTCTGTGTATCTGTGTCTCTGTTTGTCTGTGTGTCCGTGGTCTTTCCTGTGTTCATGATTGTAGGTCGTGTCTGTGTGCTGGGTTCTGTGTGTGATGTGTGTGGTCGGTGTGTCGTGTGATTGGTCTGTGTGGTCTGCGTGTGTGGTGTGTGTGTGTTTGGTTTTGTGTGTGTTTTGCTGTGTGTTTTGCTGTGTGTTTTGCTGTGTGTTTTGCTGTGTGTTTTGCTGTGTGTTTTGCTGTGTTTCGGGTTCTGGGGGAGGTGTCGATCCCTTGGGGGAGGTCCCCGAATGGGAGGGATCCAGAAATGGGGGGATCCAGAAATGGGGGGGGTTCAAGGAAAGCATAATTCTCGCAGATGGCTTTTTTTTCCCAACCATCCTGTGGTGTTGGGTCCTCGTTTTGAAGAGACAGCGCCCCGCGTTCCCACCTTCCTCCCGCTGCCCCCCTCCCTCCTCCATTTCGGCACACCCCTCACACATTTCGTGGCCCCATAGGGAGCTCCGCCGAAGGTCCCAGTGGGTGTGCCCGCATGCGTCCCGCACACCCATTCCGGCACACCCTTCACACGTTTCGTCGCCCCATAGGGAGCTCCACCGAAGGTCCCAGTGGGTGTGCCCGCATGCGTCCCACACCCATGTCGGCACACCCCTCACACGTTTCGTGGCCACATAGGGAGCTCCGCCGAAGGTCCCAGTGGGTGTGCCCGCATGCGCCCCGCACACCCAGGTCCCAGTGGGTGTGCCCGCATGCGTCCCGCACACCCATTTTGGCACACCCCTCACACGCTTCGTGGCCCCATAGGGAGCTCCACCGAAGGTCCCAGTGGGGTGCCCGCCATGCGTTCCCGCACACCCATTTCGGCACACCCTTCACGCGTTTCGTGGCCCCATGGGGAGCTCCACCGCAGGTCCCAGTGGGTGTGGCCCGCAATGCGTCCCCGCACAGTCCCCATGTCGGCCAACACCCCTCACACGTTTTTCGTGGGCCCCATAGAAAGCTCGCCGGAAGGTCCCATTCGGTGTGCCGCATGCGTCCCGCACCCCTGTCGTCACACCCATCACACTTTCGTGCCCCACAGGGAGCTCGCCGAAGGTCCCAGTGGGTGTGCCCGCTGCATTCCGCACACTCATTTCGGCACACCCTTCACCCGTTTCGTGGCCCCATAGGGAGCTCCACCGAAGGTCCCAGTGGGTGTGCCCGCATGCGTCCCGCACACCCATTTCGGCACACCCCTCATACGTTTCGTCGCCCCATACGGAGCTCCACCGAAGGTCCCAGTGGGTGTGCCCGCATGCGTCCCGCACACCCATTTCGGCACACCCTCACACGTTTCGTGGCCCCATAGGGAGCTCCACCGAAGGTCCCAGTGGGTGTGCCCGCATGCGTCCCGCACGCCCATTTCGGCACACCCCTCACACGTTCGTGGCCCCGTAGGGAGCTCCACCGAGGGTCCCAGTGGGTGTGCCCGCATGCGTCCCGCACACCCATTTCGGCACACCCCTCACACGTTTCGTGGCCCCATAGGGAGCTCCACCGAAGGTCCGAGTGGGTGTGCCCGCATTCGTCCCTCACACCCATTTCGGCACACCCTTCACGCGTTTCGTGGCCCCATAGGGAGCTCCACCGAAGGTCCCCGTGGCGCAGTACGCATGCGTCTCCCCCACCCAGTACACCTCCGCCGGAGGCCGTCGGAGTTCCGCGCCTCGCTCGCCCGTCGTCGCTGTGCCCAGCGGCAGGAGCCTTGCCCGCTATCAGCCAGCCAGCTAGCTCTTTGTGCTGCGCGCAGCGGACGACCCGCGCGCGTCGCTGGGACCCCTCCGGGGCGACCTGCGCGCGTCGTTGGGACTCCGCGCTGCGCTGCGCCCGCAGCCTTGGACTTTAGAATGCGCGGGCAAAGAGGGAGTAAAAGAAGGGGAGGAAGCGGGCGCGATCCTCGCGGTGGCGTCGCGGCGCGCGGGCGATGCCATCGGGGAGTCCCGGGGAAGCTCCTTGCGGCGGCCACGCCCAGCGTCACGAGTACCCAAACGCAGTCATTCTCAAACGATTGACTTTTTATATACAATTGCACCATGCTTTGTCAAAGTCGTATTCATGCACGTAGACTCGCTCGCACGCAGATTCATTCACAGTCAGACGCACTCGCGCTCATATTCACCCGCGCTCAGTCTCCCTACGTACTCAGATCAATCGTTTTCGTTCGCGTCGTGTACCACGCCACTGATTTCGGCACACCCCTAGCACGGCTCGTTGCCTCATAGGGATCACCACCGAAAAAGGGAATCACAATTGCGGTACTCACACCTGCATACACCGAAGTATGGTTGGGCCCTTCGTCAGGCTACTTGTGTTTTTTGTGTGGTTGCTGGTTTTTGGGAAGGTGGCGATCTTTCGGGGGAGGAGCCCACATGGGAGTCCTCAAATGGGTAAGGTCCCCAAAATGGGGGAAGGTCCCCGAATAGAGAGGATCCCGACATGTGGGGGGGGGGATAGGGGGGAATCTGGAAATGGGGAAGTGCCCACTTGCAAATGGGCTATGTGGCTGGTCGCGACGCTTTTTGTGCTTAGCGGTTTTGTTGTTTTCTGGGGGGGGGGGGGGGGGGTATGCCATTTCTTTGGGGCTCACCCGGAGTATGCCTAAACAGTGAACCTACAGAGTCGCGTTTTAAGGAACGCGGAATGTTGCAAGGGGCTTTCGAGAATATTTACACATGCTGGATTTTCCGGTTTTCAGAGATTTCTGGGTTTCTGGGTTTTTTGTGTTTTCGAGCTCTACC